CTCCAGCAGCCCTCAGCCTCTCTTCCTGAGCTGGCCTTATAACACTTGGCTGGGCGCGGCCGCCATCTAATCATCAATGTTCCAATTACGGCTCTCATAAAGTCAGGAGTCCGGAATTGAAGGAGCGCTGTGACTGAGCCGTATGATATGTATAGTTTATTATGGCGGGTGTGAGTAATATACCAGGACTTGTCCATTACCGTCACCACCTCCACTCACTAATACTAATGGTACGTGACGTCATTCGTTCCCCGGGCCGCGCATGGGCTCCGGTTCTGTGTGGCTTGGGAGGTGGCTGGGCTCTGCACTGAGCATGCGTACTGCCATTCTGCTTCCTGTTCCAGACTCCATTGTATCGGTGGATTCGCGTTGACTGACCAGAGTCCGCGAATCTTTCTATCCCCGGTGAGTGACGGTTCCTGGTGCAGGCTGGGAAGGCGGCAGAACATGCCTGAGTGTTTGTGGGGTGTGAGGGGGAACGTTTGTGGACATAGCCGGGAGCAGGCGGGCCGGTGAGGGGAAGGGGGTGTGGGAGAAGTCAGCTCTGCTGTGAGGTGGACCTGAGAGACCTGCAATCAGTGTGTGCCGGGCGGCATTTCTTCTATCATTATAGCATTGAGAAATGGGGCCCCTGGCTTGGTGACTGGGCGCCGTGCCCCTGGTTTGGTGACTGGGCGCCCCTGGCTTGGTGACTGGGTGCCCCGTGCCCCTGGCTTGGTGACTGGGCCCCTTGCCCCTGGCTTGGTGACTGGGCTCCTTGCCCCTGGCTTGGTGACTGGGCGCCCTGTGCCCCTGGCTTGGTGACTGGGCGCCCCCCCTGGCTTGGTGACTGGGCGCCCTGTGCCCCTGGCTTGGTGACTGGGCGCCCTGTGCCCCTGGCTTGGTGACTGGGCTCCGTGCCCCTGACTTGGTGACTGGGCTCCGTGCCCCTGGCTTGGTGACTGGGCTCCGTGCCCCTGGCTTGGTGACTGGGCGCCCCTGGCTTGGTGACTGGGCGCCCCGTGCCCCTGGCAGACCAGAAGACAGGTTCACTTTAAAAGAGAAGGATTTCCAAAGCTTTTCTGTCCAGAGTTCTCTTGTGGGTCACCGAAGTAGACATACTTGTTGCTCTCCCATAATCCTGAGTCAGCTAATAGGCTCTTAACTGCTGACCTTACAGAGCAGCTCTAGGAAGGATCCATATTGGCAGGATCCACTCATATTTCTGATTTGACAGCTGGTTCCAGCTCTCAGTGTGCATTTCAGACCCAAAGCTAGCTGCTCCCACCCCTCTCCAGCGAGTACTGGAGGGGCAGAACAGAGACTGACAGTCACCGCTCTTCACTCCAAGCAGACTGAGAATTGAGTGATCAGCGATCATGTGATGCTCCGTTCTCGGCCTTGGAACTAGCATGGGACAGCTGCAGCATTGAGGTGAGTTTATATAAAATATAAAGGATGCGGCGCTATATCACAACTATAGTTATGCAGAAACCTCCAAGATATATAGTGATTAGGTGACTAATGAAAACCACAAATATTATGTCACAAGCAGAGTGACATGCAGTGCAAAATAGTCTTAGTGACAATCCCTCTCCTTCAAAAAGTGCTTCTTCCACGCGGTGATAGTGAGAAGGGTAAGGCTGTGCACTCACCAGATGCACAGTTTAACTGCGCATTTAAAGATGAACTCTTTGCTGGATCCACTGGTAGCTCCTAAAGGTCAGGTCAGGCCAGATATTCCTCCCCCTGCTGTGTTGCTGACAATCCACGGTCTCCCCCTTAGGTGGCTGGACAATTCCACCATAAGTCCCTAAGACTAAGACCATAAGTCCCTAAGATTGTCACTAAGACTATTTTGCACTGCATGTCACTCTGCTTGTGACATATTTGTGGTTTTCATTAGTCACCTAATCACTATATATCTTGGATGTTTCTGCATAACTATAGTTGTGATATGGCGCCGCATCCTTTATATTTTATGTGTTTGCAAGGTTTTTTGGTATCCTTTTTTGATGCTTGGCTGCTTTATTTCATTCATAGCGCTCACAACTTTCTTTAAAGATTGAGGTGAGTTTGGATGTTTTTTTTTTTTTTTTTTCTGCAGGCAGTCAGCATATGCAGGCTGGATCATGTATATGTACGTCATCCAGCCTGCATAGGTTTAGGAGCGGGCTGTGCACACCCCCAACCACTGTGTCCAAACACAGCAAATTGTGACTCCGGGTAACGGGCCACCTTGAGCGGCCTGGGGATCATGTGATCGTTCTGCTGAGGCTACATATAGTCCATAGAGAGCCAATGCATGTCTTAGTGAAATAGTTTGGACCAGTTTGGTCCAAATGAACAGTTTAAACTTCTAGAAGCTGGGGACCAGTTTTAAAGTGATACTAAAGTCTTGTTTTTCTTTTCTTAAAAATAACAAACCTGTTATACTTTTATGTGTAAAATATATTTGCGCTTAGCGAAAAAACATATGTATAACTATGTGAGTGCTGCAACCATAAAGTTTGAATACTAAACTTGTACCAATATAACCCTTCACCTGGTGCACTTCTCACTTAAATGGCCAAAATTAATATAAATATTTAATATAAATATAAAAATACCAACAATAATGCACAACCCAGTGTCTTATATATAATGAAGTTCAAAGTATTGTGTTGTTTATATTCAGTGCAGTCCAAACAAACTGATTGTAGAAGCCAAGTGCTCAAATCAACACAAATTCCAACAGTGCAGGATCTTGAATGTGAATGATCATGATCTCACAATGGTCAGCCTTTTACCAGAAACATTGTTCTCACTGGAAAGAGATCAATATACGCTTGTGTGCTCTCAATCAGCACTTATCCTGCAGGATCAGACTTTTATCCCCACGTCTCCATGTGATCACAAATCAAAGAAGGAATCCTTCCAATCTAAATATAATATTTATTGTAGAAGAAATCAGCACATAGTAATCGGATGCCAAAAAGTCACTACATACATGTGATTTCAATGGCTAGGGTCCGCCCAACATGTTTTGCCACCAGTCGCATCGTCAGGTGTATGGAGCATGATGCCCCCGTGCTCTGAAAGCTTGCTATGGGGGCACCCGAGCAGGCGCGCTCCCAAGCCACTGCTTTGCGTGTCTATTCACATACAGAGCTGTGATTCTGCCCCGCCCGCTTTCTCTCCTGATTGGCTCACTGGCTGTGCTTGACCATTGGCTCCCGCTGCTGTCTCAGCCAATCAGGAGTGAGAGTCCCCAGTGAACCGAGGCTCCTGTGGACATTGCTGGATCAAGAGGGGGCTCAGGTAAGTGTTTGGGGGGCTGCTACACACAGAAGGTTTTTTTTACCTTCATGCATAGAATGCATGAAAGTAAAAAATCTAGAGACTTTAGAACCACTTTAATGGGAAATTGTTTTGCTTATTCAGGGCCAAGTGTCAGATTCTCTTGATACCTACCCCTTTTACCCCAAATTTTTAATTGCATTTAACCCCCATTGTTTTATAGGTTAACACATTGAGCAAAGTAAAATAAATATTTCCAGCAATCTTTTTTTAAAATTCTTACTCCAGCGCTTCCAGTGTACAGCCTTCTTTGCTGCTCGCTCCTGCACTGTCAGTGCTGCTTTCCTGAACTTCCACTCTTCAAAAGAATGAGTGAACACTGGACAGCGCAGTCTCAATCAAATCTGTTTGGAGAAGGGAGGGGGAGATTGAGGGAAGAGTAGGGGAGTGCCTTGCTGTCCTAAGGTACATGGGTGTGTGCTTCTATTGATGCACACAGCGTAGGGAGACACAACTGTTGTCACTTTATGTAAGGGTGATTCAATAGGACTCTGCAAGTGAAAGGAACCTCCCTGAAACAGGAACTCTGAGGCAGTGGTCATGGCACCAGCTTAAACAGGAACGTATGCAAGGATTAGGATCTCATGCACACCGGCCTCATGCCTGAACGCCAAAACTCCTGGCAGGAAAATGCTTCTTTAATATGCGCTAAAAGCCCTGAATTGCACATCCATTCAGGCACATCTAGCATTTGAGTGTTAATGCATTCTATGGGCCAGAATATAATTTTTTTCTGGACACTGGAATGCATTAACGCTCAAATGCTAGATGTGTCTAGCGTTTATGTTCGTTCCATGTTTTTTCTGTTCTTCAGCTCCTCTCCTGAACAGCACGTTTGGTGGATTTTTTTTCTCGGCCAGTAAATGTTCCTCTTGTAAGGCCACATTCACATGGGCATATGCATATTCGTTGCATGGAAGGTTCTTGCTGGCATTGCTAGCAGAAGATCATGCGTAAAGTACTCCTCTTCAGTACTTGCTTTTAGATATGTACTGCATTTAGACATGTACAATTCCTCTTCCATACCAGTGAATTGCTACATATTTACATGCGTATGTGTTTAGGCGTGTACAGATATAAAATGTGCAGATCTGTGTGGCCCTAGATGCAGCTGTGTTTCCCCCCATTCCTTTTTTTTTTTTTTTTAATTTATGCCCAACTATACACAGCACACATATTCACATGTATATTATGCTATGTGTATGGGTTCATTGATTACTCTAGTGCTGTGTTTATTTTTATTTATTATCCCAGCATTTGTTCTGCTTGTGTGAATGAGCCCTAATATACCTGTGAGCTCCTATGTGTGCATGAATACATAGGCTTATAATAAAGGTGTGTTTACCGGCTGAAAAAGAAATGCTCAGCTCCTGTAAAATCAAGCTCCATACTTGGTGATTAAATCTGCTACAAAAAATGAGAAAGATTGAGGGTTTATCAGCACTTGGACTTTGTCTTGCAAGGAAACAAAGCAGTATTCCTATGTTGCAGACTTTTTTGAAGTTATCTGCATATGATTGTATACCCCCTCTGCTGAACATGCTATAATCAAAGCTGTAATCCTGTTTGGGTTGTTTCACTGTGCAATATAGTTATATCAGAATGTTATATTTTAATTTGTTCTAAATGTGTTTTTTCTCTTTTAAAAGCTGTAGAGCTCATTAAGGAAAAACAAATTCAGAATGTCATTGTACCAGTTCTTACTTGAACCTATCAGTTGCCATGCCTGGAATAAAGACCGCACACGTAAGCCACCTATCTGTTTGTTTGTTTTTTAATTCCAGAAATAACATTGGGTGTTCTGTGTATGCCTAAAAGTACACATGGTATACATAGCACTCCCTGTTCCTTTCCCCTGCAGAATGCTACCCTCTTACTGTATTTGATAGCAATTCCTGGCTGTTATAAGCCACTGCCAACAAAGAATGGACCTTTTTAATAGTGTATATTAACACTTCTCAGAGTTTCACAGATACAATGTAATATTGTTAGAACGGTCTAGGTAAAAGCACACAAATGTGTCCCAAAGGAAATAAGTGAATGGTATATGTCAACTGTGATTAGTGGGGAAAAAACTCACTGCTGTCATAGTAAAAACACATAGTTTTGTGGAAAGTATGAACAGGAGCCAGGCGCTGTGTAGTTTTGTGATAAAAGTAATACACCTTATATGGAGGTGTGCCTTTAATAATTCATATGGTAAAAAATAGATAACCAGCCTGTGGCTTTAAGAAGCCAGGTTCCAAGATGGATGGCTCGTCTGCTCAGAGGGAAGCAGTGACCCGTCTGCTCAGAGGGAAGCAGTGGAGTGTAGAATGCCTGTCAGTGCAGGGACCATGTGTATCCAACATCCCAGCGTCCGGGATGACGTCACCACGATGTGGAGAGATGGGGAGGGGGGGACTCTTGCTGGAGCCGCAGCTTTAGAAGAAAGAGGCCGGTTGCCAGGACATGTTTCACCCTCATGGGCTTTATCAAGTCCACTTGAACTTGATAAAGTGCATGCACGTGAAACATGTTGTGCCGGCAACCGGCCGCTTACTTCTAAAGCTGCGGCTCCAGCGAGAGTTCCCAGTGTGAGGTATTTAGTAGGAGGCATGACAAGTTTTTTGAAGTTGTAATTTTTGTCATAATTTTGTGGAAAATGAAGAAATGAATTTCATTTTTTCTTTTTTTATACATACTGTCACCATTGTACTACAGCATCATTATATAACTAGTGCAGCGGTGACTGGGGACACTGACTAGCAACAGTATGTTAAAAAAAAAAAAATACATTTTATTATGCTTTTTTTTTTTTTTTTCTTTTTCTACTCCTGTGACCAGAGCAATACAGTGTTACCATAGCAACATTGTACTACTTTGGGCAAGTGATCGGGATTTTTTTTTTACACATTATGATTGCCTTTACCTTCATTGGTGTAAGCAAACAGTAGTTTTTGTTGTGATTGGCCACAGCTGGTCACATGCTACAGATGGGCTATGATTGGCCCAGTCTGTACATGTGACCAATCACCGCTAGTGGCACAGTTGTAAGCCATGAATGGCATAAAAGAAGCCATTCATTGTTTACAACTGTCATGTGACCTGCTGTGATTGGTCACTTCGATCACATGTCACTGGCAGATGGCCGGTGGACACAGCCGGTGACAGATCACGCCAGAGCGAGGCCCGCGGGGCATGCGCAAGCTGGCATCCTCAGAGGATCTCATATGAAGTCCTCCCAGGATAATAGGGATCCCACTCGCCCATCATCCTACAATAGCAGGGATGTGCGATTTGTGTTGCCCAACGACCAGGACATGCAGTTCCATGCGCCGGGCTGGTAGTTGTTGCACACACCCCTCTAACTTGGCAGCACCCGGACCCCCCACCGCTATGTCTCCTGGGCTCTGCTTGCCCATCTACGGCCCCGGAACCAGCTCAGCGGGTGCCAGCGTGTAGTGGGGAGGGAGGAGAGCAGACCCTCCCTTTCTTGCTGTGACCAGGAAGCGACGTATGATGTCACTTACGAGTCCCATTGACAGATTTCCCTGCCTCAATTGGCATCAAGCCTGGGAAGAATGTAATGCGGTGCAATGTGCACTGCATTATATTCAGTGGAGCACAGAGGAGACATGCTGGGTCTTTTAGACCCTGCATGTCTCATTAAAGAGAACCTGTCGCCAAAAAAATTTTACATTGGGGACCTTTTACTTTGTGTCCCCTATGTGATGACAAAAAAAAAGTTTAGGTAAAATAATTTGTTTTAATTTTAAAGCACATAAAACCCCCCAAAAATTGTGAGCTCCCACCCCCACATGTATGCATGTACGAACATAAACACACACGTTGGGGTGCCTACACGTTAAAATGTTGCGACGCACGTTACATATCACTGCACACGCCGGAACGAGAGTAATCTAGCACCAGACCACCTCCGTAACACTAAACTGATAACCTATAGGGGGCTTTAAGTGTGTCACCTATATAAAATATAGGGTATTAAAATTTGTCGCCATTTCATGAGTTCACATAAATGTAAGGTTTGACATGTTGTGTATCTATTTACTCAATGCAACCTCATCTTTTATATTTTACCAAAAAATGTGTAAGTTATTGTGCCCTAAAACTAACTTAACTAGTTGCCGACCGCAGATAGCCGAATGACGGCTACACTGCGGCCGGCCAGTTCTGAGTGGACGTCATATGACGTCCTCCCAGAAGGCGCTCTCCTGCGCGCCCCAGGGGGCGCGCACCCGGCGATCTCCGTGATCGCTGTGTCCTACGGACACCCAAATGAAATTTACGTTCTTTATTTCCCCACAAATTGAGCTTTCTTTCAGTGGTATTTGATTGATTGTCCGTTTTTTTTTTTTTTTTTATTGCACTATAAGAATAAAACAATATTTTTGACTGTTTGCTATTAAACATGTCCAGTAAAAAAATCAAATTTCGTCATAACATGCAGCCAAAATGTGTTTTGCTCCATGTCTTTTTGCTAAAAAAAAAAAAATCCCAATACGTGTTAATTGGTTTGTGTGAAAGTTATAGCGTTTACAAATAGTGGTATGTGTACTGGGCTTTTTTTATATATAATTTTTATTTTCTTTTTTACTTGTAATGGCGGCAATCAGCGACTTATAGCGGGACTGTGGGACTGCGCCGGGCATTCTGACACTGAGGGAAATTGACTTGGTGTCACTGACATCCCCAGTGACACCAATACAGTGAACAGTGCTAAAAAAAAAAAAAAAGCACTGACACTGGGCAGGAAGGGGTTAACATGAGGGGAGATCAAAGGGTTTACTGTGTGTTGATTCACTTGTGTCTGTATCCATGTGCTTCACTGTAATCACAGCCATCCAAAGCAGTGTGTACAAGCCGACAGTTTTACAAACCGTTATCCTTCTCGTCGGAGATACTCGGCAATCACCGTGCGCTGGCAAGTAATCGCCGGCTAGGTGATTTACAACTGCGGCCGCGAACAGCGGCGCGGGTAGGGGCGCGCACGCGCTTTCCACATTCCCTCTACCCGGAAATGGAACATTACATATATACACGTGATTTTACACACCCGTGCCGCCCTGTAGCAGTATTTCTGCTATAGGTCGGTTGGGAAGCTCTGGTTTAAACCTCTTCCCAACGGCGCTATAGCTGAAAGACTGCTACAGCGCGGTTGTCTAGTTTTGGGAGGACATCCTTCCTGAACACGCACCCAGTGGCATGCACCCGGCACCGCTGGTGATCGCTGTGTCCTACGGACGGACGCACGCAGCTGATCATGTGATGTGGTAAAAGGCCAATCACAGCAGCCTTTTACCACGTGATTAGCTGTGTCCAATGACACAGCAGATCACTGGGTAAATACATTGACCAGTTATCAGCTGCACTTTCCTCATGCTGTCACAGTGTGAGGAAAGTACTGCCGATAACCGGCAATTGTCAGAGAAGAGATCGGCACTGATCGGCAACAATGAGACGACCCCCAAAACAGGAACGGTATTACAGGTGGAGGTCACTGACATTTTTTTCCCTACTCATCTTTTCTGACTGTTTTTTCATATTAGTTTTGCATTTGGCTAAGGTCAGTGTCACTACTGGTAGCATGAAGTGATACCTGGACCCTACAGAGGTTGCACGGGCAGTTCAACTCCTCCAGCATGGCACATCAATAAATGCCATTGCCAGAAGGTTTGTTGTGTCTCCCAGCACAGTCTCAAGAGCATGGAGGAGACTCTGGGAGACAGGCAGTTACTGTAGGAGAGCTGGACAGGGCCGTAAAAGGTCCTTAACCCATCAGCAGGACCGGTATCTTCTCCTTTGTGCAAGGAGGAACAGGATGAGCACTGCCAGAGCCCTACAAAACGACCTCCAGCAGGCCACTGGTGTGAATGTCTCTGACCAAACAATCAGAAACAGACTTCATGAGGGTGGACTGATTGCCCGATGTCCTCTATTGGGCCCTGTGCTCACTGCCCGGCACCATAGAACTCGATTGGCATTTGCCATTGAACACCAAAATGTATGTATGTCTAATGTCATATATGTTGAAAACAAGTACAGGAAGTGAAGGGAAATCTCCCCAGTAAAACACAGACCACAAAATATAATTTGCTAGGGGTTTTAACCCACCCCGACTACACCCAACACTTGGGGAAAAAAAATGTTTGGCTTTACACTTTAAGAGAAAGTGTAAGCGAACCTTTTGAAAATGTTTTGAAATAGTGTAATGAATAAATACATTTTTTTTTTTTTTTCGTTTATCTTCAAAATATGATTTTGAAAGAAAGTCACATGCTGAAACCGAGCTCAAGTGCTTTAGATGTTCACTCTCCGGTCCGCCTTTACGCTCTCCTCTTTCTCTTGGATTTCCATTTTCTGGCTCTTCCACAGGGATGCTTCAGGAACCACGAGGTGTTCTATATATCTCCCATCTCAATAGCATATCCCTAATGACATAATCCTTTTATTAATGTCGGCCGATGAGCTACGGATAGGTAGCCTTTTTTTTGTTCACTAACTGATTAACCGACACAAAATGTATGATTTTTCTGCTCCCTTGATAAGTAATCTAAAACATTACTTACTATAGTTATGCTTTACTTGTAAATGAACGCTGTTGACTGTTGTTCATTATTGTAACTTCTTGTTTACGTCGAGTTTGTACTCTGTAGTTAATACCAATAATAAAAATCTATTGAAAGGAAAAGTTAAGTGCTGGTATTCTTCTATTTTACAGAGATTGCAATAAGCCCAAATAACCATGAGGTACACATCTACAAGCAAAATGGGAACCAGTGGGCGAAGGTTCATGAGCTGAAGGAGCATAATGGACACATTACAGGTATAGCATGGAGGAATCAAAATGTATTTCCACTTTTGCAACCAAACTGGGATAACACTAGCTTTATATTTATTACATGTTCTCATTCACATAGCATGAATATTTAAAAACTGCTGCTTACCATTTATTTTTTTTATTAACAGGAGAAATCTTGTTAAGATAAATGATCGATGCAGTGACACAATAAAAATGAAAGCCATAGCAAAACCAGTGTCTCTTTAGTTGTGATTCACGTACTGACGTCCATTTTATGTATGCCGAGAGGTAGCATTCTCCACTGAAGTGATACTTGAAATCCACCAAAAGCCCTATACTTTGTTACATTTTTGTGGACATTTTTTTGTAAAGTATAACTAAAGGCATTTTTATTGTGTGTTTCAGAGAGTGGGGAGGGGATCTTTGTCTCCGTTAGTTTCACTCTCTCTATTTGTCCAGTTTACTGAAAGTGAAAGAAATGTCTTCACAACATTCTAAACCCTTGTAAGTGTCTTCCATGTCCTCTACAACCTAAACATATTGACTACAGCATGCATTTTGCACTTTGTAACTGTGCAGTGAGAAGACATCCGCAGCTTCACACTATTCTGAGGCACTGTTGTAAGTCTCTTTTTTATGTTTACAGTTTTTAAAGTAGCACTATAGGCAAAACGTTTTGATTTTTTGCCATCTGTGTCCCAGTGCAGAGATTTCCTTTCACTTCAGTTAAAGCACATCAGGGAAATATCAGGGAATTCCTTCGGGACCCCCAGGTCACAAAACTAATGTCCCCATTAGACGATTTTCCATCTATTACTTTTCTGGGGACAACCTAAAATTATGGTTTTCTTTTACCTTCACTTTCAATGATAATAGTAAACTGAACAAATAGAGAGAGTGAATCTCCCCAAAGGGGGGCACAGACAGCAATAAAAACTGACAGGTGTTCTAACCCCTCACCACTCTATCCAAAACTAAAATATAGCTTTACCTTTTAATTATATTTTAATTTTGTCACCTAAACTAGTGAATCCTGCTATTATATGTTTGTTACACATATACTGGATTTATCTGTGCTAATGTTCTGTATGATGTGGATAACTGTACCATGTGAATTTAGACTAATAAAAATTTACTATAAAAGGAAAAAAAAAATCACATGGACAACAGGGCAGGGAAGTTTTCTGCATCTCAAGGCAAGGGCTTATCTGTAGTGCCTCTCCTTCAAGATACAGTCAGGTCCATAAATATTGGGACATCGACACAATTCTAACATTTTTGGCTCTATACACCACCACAATGGATTTGAAATGAAATGAACAAGATGCGCTTTAACTGCAGACTGTCAGCTTTAATTTGAGTGTATTTACATAAAAATCAGGTGAACGGTGTAGGAATTGTAACAGTTTGCATATGTGCCTCCCACTTATTAAGGGACCAAAAGTAATGGGACAGAATATTCATCATAAATCCAAACTTTCACTTTTTAATACTTGGTTGCAAATCCTTTGCAGTCAATTACAGCCTGAAGTCTGGAACGCATAGACATCACCAGATGCTGGGTTTCATCCCTGGTGATGCTCTGCCAGGCCTCTCCTGCAACTGTCTTCAGTTCCTGCTTGTTCTTGGGGCGTTTTGTCTTCAGCAAGTGAAATGCATGCTCAATCGGATTCAGGTCAGGTGATTGACTTGGCCATTGCCATTGCCATTGCATAACATTCCACTTCTTTCCCTTAAACTCTTTGGTTGCTTTTGCAGTATGCTTTGGGTCATTGTCCATCTGCACTGTGAAGCAGCATCCAATGAGTTGTGAAGCATTTGGCTGAATAGGAGCAGATAATATTGCCCGAAACACTTCAGAATTCATCCTGCTGCTTTTGTCAGCAGTCACATCATCAATAAATTCAAGAGAACCAGTTCCATTGGCAGCCATACATGCCCACGCCATGACACTACCACCACCATGCTTCACTGATGAGGTGGTATGCTTAGGATCATGAGCAGTTCCTTTCCTTCTCCATACTCTTCTCTTCCCATCACTCTGGTACAAGTTGATCTTGGTCTCATCTGTCCATAGGATGTTGTTCCAGAACTGTGAAGGCTTTTTTAGATGTCGTTTGGCAAACTCTAATCTGGCCTTCCTGTTTTTGATGAGGCTCACCAATGGTTTACATCTTGTGGTGAACCCTCTGTATTCACTCTGGTGAAGTCTTCTCTTGATTGTTGACTTTGACACACATACACCTACCTCCTGGAGAGTGTTCTTGATCTGGCCAACTGTTGTGAAGGGTGCTTTCTTCACCGGGGAAAGAATTCTTCGGTCATCCACCACAATTGTTTTCCGTGGTCTTTCGGGTCTTTTGGTGTTGCTGAGCTCACCAGTGCGTTCCTTCTTTTTAAGAATGTTCCAAACAGTTGCTTTGGCCACGCCTAATGTTTTTATATTATTATATTTAATATTCACTATCTCTCTGATGGGTTTGTTTTGTTTTTTCAGCCTAATGATAGCTTGCTTCACTGATAGTGACAGCTCTTTGGATCTCATCTTGAGAGTTGACAGCAACAGATTCCAAATGCAAATAGCACACTTGAAATTAACTCTGGACCTTTTATCTGCCCATTGTAATTGGGATAATGAGGGAATACCACACCTGGCCATGGAACAGCTGAGAAGCCAATTGTCCCATTACTTTTGGTCCCTTAATAAGTGGGAGGCACATATGCAAACTGTTGTAATTCCTACACCGTTCACCTGATTTGGATGTAAATACCCTCAAATTAAAGCTGACAGTCTGCAGTTAAAGCACATCTTGTTTGTTTCATTTCAAATCCATTGTGGTGGTGTATAGAGCCAAAAATGTTAGAATTGTGTCGATGTCCCAATATTTATGGACCTGACTGTATATCCTGCTTGATGTGATTGGTAGATTAACCTCTCCAAGAGTATTCTGGCAGACCAAGTAGTTTTCCAATTTTACATACGAAATGGGCTGTTGGCTATCACCACCTGCTCCAGATTTAGCATAATCCAACAGTTAAACTGGTGGCTACCTGCTCCAAGATTAACCGCTCCCTGCAGACCTGCCTGCAATGTATTGCTGTAGAGCAGCAGCTACAGGCAAAGCGACGTACCCATATGTCGGTCTGGCTGTACTAACGCAGGGAGGTGCGCAGCGCTCCCCCCTCGAAACTGGTGTGTCCATCGGACACAGCGCAATGAAGATCCAGGTGAACGGGACCCGGTGATCATGTGATCACATGATCACAATGTAAGCAAAGCTGTTATGAATCAATCTCATTCATAACCGCTCTGCTCCTCTTCCTAGTGAGCTGTGATTGGCCCAAAGCTGTCACATGATACATGGGGCCGATTACAGCACCCTGTACCGTGTGACCAGCTCCAAGAAATCACAGATCACTAAACATAACTCTTTCATGACAGTTCATGAAGGAGTTAGGTTCATGACGGCAAGCTTTGCATTGCAGGAGAAAAGATCCTTATTTCTCCTCCTGCAAAGCAAAGTGTAAAAAATCCCCGATTTTCCCTCCCACACACTGTAGTACAATGTTACTATTCTGATAAAAAGTATTAAACTAAATAAAATGTTAAAAAAAAATAAAGTATCATTATTGAGAATTTTTTAAAGAGTTTTTTTTTTTCTTTAACCACTTGCCTACCAGGCACTTATACCCCCTTATTTACCAGGCCAATTTTCAGCTTTCAGCGCTGCCGCACTTTGATTGACAATTGCGCGGTCATGCAACATTGTACCCATATGAAATTTTGATCATTTTTTTCTCACAAATAGAGCTTTCTTTTGGTGGTATTTAATCACCACTGGGCGCTTTACTTTTTGCGCTATAAATAAAAAAAAGTGCAAAAAATTTGAAAAAAAAAAAAAAGTTTCTTTGTTTCTATTATAAAATTTTTCAAACAGGTAATTTTTCTCCTTCACTGATGTGCGTTGATGAGGCGGCACTGATGGGCACTGATAGGCGGCACTGATAGGTGGCACTGATGGGCACTGATAGGCAGCACTAAAGGGCACTGATAGGCAGTACTAATGAGGTGGCACGGATAGGCGGCACTAATATGCAGCACTGATAGGTGACACTGATGATGGGTACTGATAGACGGCACTGACTGACATCACTGCTGGGCACTGACTGGCGGCACTGACTGGCACAACCGCTGGGCACTGACTGGTGGCACTGACTGGCAGCACTGGTGGGTGGGCACTTCTGGGCACAGGTAGGTGGCACTTCTGGGCACAGGTAGGTGGCACTTCTGGGCACAGGTAGGTGGCACTTCTGGGCACAGGTGTGTGACACTGCAGAGTGGCACAGGTGGGTGCACTGCAGAGTGGCACAGGTGGGTGAACTGCTGGGCACAGGTGGGTGATCTGCTGAGCACAGGTGGGCGGAGCTAGTGGGCGCACTGCTGGGCACAGGTGGGCGGAGCTTGTGGGTGGCACTGCTGGGCACCGATCATCAGTGCCGTGATGATCGGTGCCGATCCCCGCTCTGACAACTGCCGGTTCTCGGCAGTACTTTCCTCACGATCTGACAGCGTGAGGAAAGTGCAGCCAAGAACCGGCACTTGCATTTCCCTCTGATTAGCGTGTCATTGGACACCGCTGATCACGTGGTAAAAGGCTGCTGTGATTGGCCTTTTACCACATCACGTGATCAGCTGTGTCCGTAGGACACAGCGATCACGGAGATCGCCGGGTGCGCGCCCCCCTGGGGCGTGCAGGAGAGCGCGTTCTGGGAGGACGTCATATGACGTCCACGCAGAACTGGCCGGCCGCAGTGCAGCCGTCATTCGGCTATCTGCGGTTGCCAACTAGTTAACTACTTGCCAACTGCTCACCCGCTTACTGCTTTTGCGGGCGAGCAGTAGCTCTTGGCAAAGCGATATAATCTTGCGACACTCTTCCCCTCCCCCCCCCCCTTTTCCCATTGGTCCAGGGAGAGAGCCCCTAATAACCCTTTGATCACACCTTCACCCAACCACTACCATT